ACATACCTTATATAAAATAACCATCCCAACTTACCCCGCTGCCGTCCCTCTTCGATTCTTCCCCTTGGCACTGTTCCCCATCAGACAATGAATATTATCTGTTGGTTTATAACTTTTTGTCTCCCCCACACCCCAATCCCTGCATGCCTTAGAGTGTAAACCCCACAAGGCAGAGCAAAGCATCCCCCGTGGCATCATAGTGTATGGCGTGTGAATGTTCTCAGTAAATATTTGTTAAAGCAATAAATTTAGCCTCTTATCTTACGAGGGAAGTGTGGTGCAAAATAGTAAACAATAAGATAAGAGTCATAAAAATGTATTTGGAAGATTCAGTGGAAACACAGTCATTCTGCCGGAGAGGGAGCACCAAGAGGGCTGCATGGAGGAGGAAACTGAGCAGGACCAGCCACAGGGCAGGGCTTGCCAGAAGGGACTGGGAGAAGGAACAGAGCTCAGCTCGGTGGGACAGATCTTGGGATGGTTAAGCAAGCCCAGGGATCCTACAGAAATGGTGTAGCCAGGCAAGAGGGTCCAGGCAGACCGTCTGAGTCTTCAGATCAGCAAAACCAGGAAGAAAGGGTCAGGGGCACATGCCCACAAACCACACCAGAGTCTGAGTCAGAATGGTGACGTATCCCGAGATGCTTTTACAAGGATAGGAGCTGGGGGTGTAGGTAAAGCAGGAGGAAGCAGGCAGGAAGCAGGTTCTCCTTGGGTTGGGTGGTGACAGCCTTCCTCAAGGTGGCCCCCAGCAATGGCGGGAATGGGTTCTGATGGCCAAACCCAGAGTGGGTGTTGGCGGTGCCAGCTCTGGCCCCCCACATTCTCCTGGCATGGGAAGAGAGAGGGAAGGAGGGGGTGGCAGGAAGGATGCACAGCAGCATGGCTCCCTAACGGTTCCCCAGGTGGCCTTCGAAGCTGGTTGCAGGGGTTCCTTCAGCGAAAGATTTTGCTAAGAACAGCGTGAAGTGGTCGAAGGTATGACTGCCTTCATGAAGAGCCTGGGTAAGTTCTGTGCTGTCTCTAAACCTCCTCAGCCTCCTCCTCTGTAGAATGGGGATAAGAACAGTACCTACTTCTTAAGTTGATTGTGAGGGCTAAGTGAAGACGTAGGTCAAGTCTCTTTGGGGCAGTCACACAATAAACCTGGAGTCTAGTTCTTTATCCCGGAATGGGATGCATCAGAGAGTGGGGTGGGGGGTGACCAACCAATCATCTTCTCTTCCCTCACCCAACACCTGAGATCGCAACACTCAGGGCTTCCCCAGGGGCCCTTTGTGGACAGGATCTCTCTGATCGGCCTTCTTGAAATGCCCATTTAAATTGCACCCCCTCCACCTCTAGAGTTCTCGATCCAAACTGCCACTGCTCGGAACCTTCCCCCACCACCCGCGGTGGGAATGGATTTCCAGCCATTTGTCCCTTCCAGCTTCAGTCGCAAGTCTGTATGGCTCTTCTCTGCCCAGCTCCAACGTGGGGATCTGTGGCCCATCCTTGGCCCTGGGGGAGAGGACAAAGGAAGGCCACCAGGTTCGAGGGGCCGGGGAGAAGCTGGCACGGAGAGGCCTGAGGGTGCTCCGGGTCTGCTCTGTCTCTGGCAGCAAGGGCCAAGGCCAGTTGTATCTAAATTAAATAAATGTACGTGTCACTCAGCACACCACAGGCAGGGAGGGAATGTGAATCTCTATGGCATTAGGTCTAGAATCAAGAACATGAAAATACACTGTAGGCTCTAGGGTAATGTAAAAAGATGGACTTTTACTGCTCACCCTGGGATTTCTCCACCTATAGAAGCTTCGCCTTACATGAAGTTAGGGACTCATTTCCCCTTACAGATAATTTACAAAAATATCAAGACAGAGACCAGCTTCTAGATAACCTTTCTCTGGTCATCTGTAAAGTATTGACCCAATACTGTTCCCCCAAATCAGTTCATCCTAAGGACACAGCCTTTCCTGGGAGTTGGTGCTCATGGCTTTGGTGCAGTTACAAGCCACGGGGTCACATTTCGACTCGGCCTCATGGAAATGTTATGCTTGGGTTTGTCACGGGCTCCACAGTGGGGGGCAGGAGGCCACAGGCACCAGGATAAACTGCAGACTTCCTCTCCACAAGGCTGGGAGAAGCTGGGGGTAGGCTGCCCGGCACGCCAGTCCCCATAGGAAGGCCACAAGAAACAAAGAAGTCTGAAAACAGATCCCCGAAGAGGCTTCTTCCTTTGGGGACATCTGACAAGAGCCTAGAGGTACCCTTGCTACTCTGTAAGGTGTGGTAAAGGGAGTGTGTAAAACCAAGAGGGTCTTATTTCAATGTGGGCTAACGATTTCGTGTGGGATTGCTAATATGGGAACTATTTTGTTCTCCCTGAGCCACGATGAATGTATTTCTAGGTCACCATGTAGGTTTGGGAAGACATGGTCACTCTACAGGGAGCGGAGGGAGCAAGGGACACTGCACAGAGGAGGAGATACTGAAACTCCTCTGTCCTATGCTCCTATGTCCCACCAGGAAGGCTCATGTCTGCCCCAGTCCCCAGGCCAATGCAGGCATGATGAAGGACTTGTGAGCGCCTCTCTCATCCCAGGATCACCTTGTGCCACTGAGGTCCCATGTGACTCCCTGAGTCTCCTTCCCTGCCCTGTCCTGAAACCACTGCCCCTGGAGAAGCCTTCTAGATGGCTCCACGGCCCCTCAGTCATGGCTTCCAGATATTTCCTCCCTTTCTTGGCCCATGCTGCCCAAGTCCACAGCCTGGGCTCTCCCTTGGTCCTACCCTCACGTGCTACTCAGTTGTCCTGCCCTCCAGCCTAGGCCTCCTCTAGGGCTGGAGATCTACCTTAAGCCCCAGTGCATGGTAAGTTTTCTGCTCCTTACTTTTGGTTTCTTTCCCAACATATCCTAGGGGATGGCTCTCTGCCCCAAGTTCCCTGTCGTCATGCCGTGTTCACCTGCTGAGACTCTGGGCTCCATGGTGATGACCTCTTGCGGGCTGGTGCTTGAGACTTTCAGAGATTAAGGGCTCCCCATCATCATCTCCCAAAGCAGACTTTGCCACCAAATCAGTTGAACTCGTGCTTGTCCTATCTTAGTGGACAAGCCTTATGCCATCGTATTGGTCAGGGTTCTTCAGAGAAACAGAATATATACATACATGCACACCTGTACATACATGTGTATGTGTTTCTCTCCTGTTAGTTCTGTGATATATATTTTATATAGATAGATATAGACCAAGAGATAGAGAGATTTTAATAAATTGGCTCAAGCAGGTTGTGTGGCAGGCTGGAATTCCACGGAAGGGCTGATGTTGCAGTCTGGAGTCTGAAATCCGTAGGCTGGAAAATCAGGCAGGGTGTCTACATTGCAGTCCTGAGGAGAATTCCCTCTTCTTCAGGAAACCTCAGTATTGGCTCTTAAGGCCTTCAACTGATTGGACGAGGCCCACCCACATGACAGAGGGCAATCAACTCAAAGTCTACTGATTTGAATGTTAGTCACATCTAAAACATACCTTTAGGGCAGCATCTAGACCAGTGTTTGTCCAAGCAACTGGGTAGGGTGGCCTAGCCGACTTCTAAGTTCCCTCTCCTTCTCCCCGGGGCCTCCCCAGACCATGATGCTTCTATCAGTTATGATGCTTTCAAATGCAAAGTCGCAAGGAAGCCTATTCAAATAGGCTCAAACTACAAAGGGAACTCATTGGCTCTTGGAACTGAAAAATCCACAGGCAGGCCAGCTCTGAGTTTGACTCACTTCAGGTTTGAGACCACGTCTCTCTGGGTCTCTCGGCTCTACCTTCCCTGTGTTGATGTAATCTTCAGGCAGGGTTCCCTTGAGATTGTGACATGGTTGACACACTTCTTTATTCACATCCAAGAGGAAAGAGAGCGGGACATTCCTCCCAGAACCGGGGTGGGGGTGGGGTGGAAAGAGCACCAAGCTTCTCTCTGGTTGGCTCAGTCCTGACGTCATCACGGGGCCAAGGGAATATTCTGTTCTGATTGGCTTAGGTCTACCTCGCTCTATCCAATCCCAGGGCCGAGGGAGGGGGTTTGCCCTGCCTGCCATCTAGTTAGGGACCTTTCCTGGAGCCTGGGGTAGAATCAATCCCAGCAAAACCAGGGCTGAGGGGTGGGATGCTGGGAGCACCCTGCAGGGTCACAGGAACCAGCCCTCATCCCAGGAGAGGACAGCTTCTGGGAAGGAGGGGTCTCCCTGCCTTGGCGTCCGGGCAGAGCTGGTCCAGCATGGAGGGGCGCGGTGGAGACGGGCCAATGTGCGTGTCTTCAGACTTCTTTGCTCCGAATCGGTCTGCCTGTCTGCCATTGAGGAGCGATGACCAGAACTGAACTCATAGCAGTCAGCTATACAACTGTTAGGACATGGGCAGAACTGTGGGATGTCCCTGGGAGCCACCAGCTGCTGAGGAGAGTGACTCACGCCCTGCTGACAGGGATGGCATGGCCCAGACAGAGAATGCAGGAAGAAGGTGGCTTGAAGACATGTTGGGACAGCCCAGGTGAGGGGGCTGCCTCTGAGATTTTGATCTGTAATTTTTTTTTTTTTAAGTAGGCTCCACACCCAGCTTGGAGCCCAACACGGGGCTTGAACTCACGACCCTGAGATCAAGACCTGAGCTGAGATCAAGGGTCAGATGCAACCAACTGAACCACCCAGGTGCCCCTGTAATTTGTTTTGATAAAACGAAACAAAACAAAACCTGAAGTGGCAGGACTTATATCTTCACAAACTATGAAATGCCTCTTTCGTTCCTCCCTCTGTCTGTACCACTTCCCTCTCTACCAAGATGCCACTGTAATTACTCGCACAGGCATGTCACACAGCATGCCAGGGGAGGGATCGGCTGCACCCTTGCCGAGAAGTCCACCCATCCTTCCTGTGCAGTGTTCTCCTCATACGGGTGTACGGGGCGTGCCTGTTGGCCAGCCCAGCTTGGCCATGTGCACTTGGCCCTCCCATCAGCCACTGGGCGACGAGAATCTTCCCCTGCTTGAGCAGCTGAAGGAAGCGGCATACCACCAGTGGGACCTGAGACTTCAGGAGAAAAAAATCAGCAGAGTTGTGCCTGGATATCATCCCGGGCTAGGGAGAGACACCCTGGGGGCAAAACGTCGCTGGAATCAGACGAGGGTGCTGCCTACAGAAACAGGCACAGCTTTCTAAGTTGTGCCACAAAAACAAGCTGCTGAACACTCACGCAGTAATGCTGTGTGATTTACAAGGCCTTTTGCTTCTCTCAGGTCTTTGAAACAAAAGCATCAGAAACCCTTTTGCAGAACAGAAAACTGAGGTAAGGAAAAGTCGCACCTTGCCGAAAGTTACTCGGTGAAGCCCCCATTGAAATCCAGACCCTCTAACCCTAAATCCCATCTTCTTTTACCACTGGTGCTCAGCGTTTCAGGGTAACACTTTTGGGGGCCCTGCCAGTGCAGGGAATATTAGTTAAGATGTGCCATGGAAAGGATTAAACAAATCCCACCAAACCCTTTGCTTACCCACGGGTTCATTCTCATTCTTCATGCTTAGTTTGCTAATGTAGGAGTCACATGTTCCTGTTGTCTTTATTCTCCCGGTTTAATCAGGAAAACGAGCCAGAAGAGCTGAAATGATTAGCTGGGGATCATTAGAAGAGGAAAGAATTTATATTCGCAGTGACTGTATTTCTAGTCCATTGATTAGGCAATTTTGCTTTTATGAATCAATTGTGGTGATTGCTATGCTGAATAAAATATGGAATTGCTATCGCAAAGAAAACATAAATTATTAGCTTTAAAACACATAGTGTCTCTGCATGGAACTATGTATCCTATGGTCTATTTCTCATTTCCTCTCCCAGAATTCCACCTGGGTTTCTCAGGGGGCTCTCCCCATAGGTTCCTTGGCTCTACTGTGGCTTAGAGCAGCACGAGCCAACAAGGTGCAACATTATTATTTAGCTTCCACTGATCATCCCTTGTAGGTGGCCAGTGGTGTTCAAAGGCAATGCAGAGTGCTGTAGGGGGGAGATCAGTACCCACGCACATCTTGACTCTGCAACTTCAATCCAGAAGGTAAGGTGATTTTTAGAAATATATATATGTATATATATAATCACCTTTGGCGATTCTAATAACAAATGCACCAACAATCTCAGCTCCTATTAATATGTTGAATTTTTTTCATAGGCGATACAGAGGTCATTTCCTAAATCGCCCATTTCCCACTGATCCATCTCCGTGGATTGCCTCTTGCTAGAGCAAATATGATCATGCCCAATGAATATAATGAATAATTATGGAACTTTATTTCATAAGAGGGTGTTTTAAAAGCCAGATAATCACTTTTAAGAGGATACAAGAAAATGGAATAGGACAGAATAGAGGTGGAAGGAAGAGGAGAAAACAGAGAAGAAATAGCAATAGATCAAGTGCTTTAAGACTAAAACCTTGCAAGGCTGTTGTTCAGGCGTGAAGAACAAAGAAGGAGGTATGTGGCTTCAGCGGCATGGGATTTTTGTGGATTCTAGGTACCAGAAGCTTCATGAATGAATTCGTTTGACAAACGATACATGAAGGCACTGAGGATTCTAGATTGTTATAATTTTTTTAAGATCTAGCAGTCTCATAGCCTACCGTAAAAGGACTGGCCCACGAGAGAGAGAGAGAGAGCTGATGACCATGAAGGAAAAGAGGAAGGAGAAGGAGAGAGAACAAGCAGAAATGAAAATATGTAGCAGCAGCTAGTGCCAACAAAATCCCCAGGGCAAGCCCTTTCTTCCCCAAAGAAGACATGTCGCCTACTTCTTAATTAACACGTTCCTATTTTTTCTCAGCACAGATCAATCCTGAGCACCAGCTTCCGTAAGTTCCTCCCTCCCAAGGTACTGTGAGGAACACAAGATAAATAAGATTCAGACCCTATTCTCAAAGAACTTAGAATCTATTTGGAAATTTCAAGCAATGCACCCTGAATTATGGATCTGCTCTAAGACAGCATTCAAGCAGGTGCAGAGGTGCCTGGTCCACACTCTGGGGGTGCAGTTCCAAGAAGAGAATGGGCCACACAAGGGTGGAAGGGACTAGGAGGGTTTCATGCCGAAGATGGACACCAGCGAGGCCTAAGAGGAGGCACAGCAGAGGTGAGGCAAGAGGACCTCAGGCAGAGCAGAAATTAGCATCAAGTGTTTTGGGATCAAGAAGAAAAATCTGTGACTTCTGTCACTGCAGGTTAATTATTGGGGGGTAATGGGGAATCAAACTTGACTAAATGGGGGAAGGTAGGACTTCCAAGGGCCCAGAGACTCAAGCATAGGGAGGCACCTGGAGTCCAGGGGTGGCCGTAAGGAAGCCAGCCCTGGCCCGGGTACTGATGGAGAACAGAACCAGGGGCCCGGGAGTTAAGGCCATGGACAGGCTGTCACATTACTCCCCTTCTGCGGAACTGGACCAGGATGGCTTCTAGGAAGGAGAAGGAGCTAGGAGAGAATTTCAAAGAGATTTGTTGGTAAGCTTTGGAGACAGATCTGATTTCGGGCAGGGGTAAGAAGAGGGCGTGGAAGATGACTCCATGGCTGCGAATATGTCTCAATTCTGCAAACTGGAGCAGGGTTTGTCTTGGCAGATGACAAATGCCTAGATAAGAGAATAAGAATGACTTGATGTGAGACTGGGACACACCTTGGGGCAAAAATCAGAGCTGCCTCGTCCTCCCCAATCCCCGGGCGTTAGACAGGGATTCGAGGAGATGATGCAAAAGCACCTCTGGCGAGAAGCGGGCCCGGTGGCTGAGGTACCAGGTAGGGCTGAGGATCCGTGTTTGCACCTGTGTGGCACAGACCCTGCTGCTTGTCTGGCTCCGCTGCCGTGGCCCCCATTCAAGGAGCACGACCCGCTCACTCGCTGTGCTGGCTCCGGGCTCTGGGGAGGCTCTCGGTCTCCCCGGGAAGGCAGAGATGAGCAGACTGGGGGATCTGAAATAGGAGCAATCAATCCAAGGAAAGCATCAGAGATAGCCTCTTTGGGTGTTTACTGGGGGATGCTGTGTTGAATTGGCATCGATGAAGGGGCAGTAAAGATTTCAGGGCACTGATCTTTCTTCAGAAATTCTTGGCAGGAGCAGAAGGTGGCATGATGTAGGGTGAGAAGTTTGTGTCTCAAAGTTCGACATATAAGAGTCTAGGGCTGTGGTCACAGCAGCTTGAGGGAGTTAACCAGGGTAGCCCCTGGGAGGCTAGGCTGCAGAGTACAGCAGTCCCCCTTATCCAGGGGGATGCTTCCAACACCCGCAGGGGATGCCTGAAACCGGGGATAGTACCCAACCCTGTGTATGCTATGTTTTTTTCCTATCCATACATACTTATGATAAATACATACTTCATTTATAAATCAGGCACAGTAAGAGATGAACAACAATAATAATAAAATAGGACAACTATAAGCATATACTGTAATAAAAGTTATGTGAATGTGATCCCTTTCTCGAAACATTTTATTGTACTTCTTGTGATGACGGGAGATGATAAGATGCCTATGAGATGAGATGAAGTGACATGAGTGACGTGGGCTTGTGACCTGGCATCAGGCCACTGACGTTGTGTCAGGAAGATCATTTACTTCCCCACCAATTGGCCGCATGCAGGTAATAAACTAGGGAAAGTGAAACCGTGGATAAGGGGGACTGTTTGTTGTACATGCTTTTTAAAGCCAGGGCTGACTGTTCAGGTTCTGTGGTGTAGTGGTTAGCACAGCTGCCTTACATGCAGAAGCTCCTGGGTTTGATTCCCAGGGGAACCACAAAGTTGCCTTAGTTCCCATTTAAGTGGGAGGGTGAAATTGAGCAAAAGAAAACAGGCTTATTTTCTATCTTTACCAGTCAGGATCCTTTTACTTACTTTTATTTATTTATTTTTAAAGATTTTATTTATTCATTTGAGAGAGAGAGAGAGAGCACGAGCGGGGAGAGGGGTAGAGGGAGAGGGACAAGCAGCTTCCCCACCAGCAGGGGAGCCCCACTCCGGCCCAAGACCAGGACCCTGAGACCATGACCCGAGCCGAAGTCAGACGCTCAACCGATTGAGCCACCCAGATGCCCCCAGAATCCTTTTAAATACTCTTTCCTGGGTGTGTACAAACGTCCTGAAATGCAGGTATTCTTTTTATCAATTTATGGCACAGAGAATAAGCTGAAATCTCACACCGAAGGTCCCCAGGTCCAGGCCCAGATATTCCTGATTTCTGTCCAGCAGGGCTGCAGGGCACTGAGAGCATGGAGCAGAGCAGGAGTCCAGGAGCCCACTCCTCCAGGGCCAGTCCTGGGGTCTGTACGGTACCGTGACCTTTTTTCTCGGAGGCTCCCCTGACTTCACCCCTAAGATAGCATGAGTCCTGGCTGCATTGTGCTGTGCTTGAGAGGTATGGGAAAGGAAGAAGTTTAGCCAAGTCAGGAATAGCCTAGGTTTTGATATCAAGAAGTCTGGGTTCCAATTCCGCCTCCACAATGTCACTAGCTGTGTGATCTTGGACGGGCTCTCTTCTAAGCTTCTGTTCCCGTGTGTGGACTGGACATAAGAATAGCACAGTCCCATAGGAAGTCTGTGCACATTGAATGAGATGATCTGTGGAAAGTGCTTGCTGGCACCGTGTCCACTACCTAGTAGGCACTCAACGTGTGCTCCTTGGTCCCTGGTATCGGAGTGCAGCTGTATCCAGGTTCTGCGGGAGCGCTAGGGCTAAGCAATGCTGCCTGCACCCTTCTCTGCTTCTCTCCCCTGGCCACTGACTCAAATACCAGCCACTGAAACACTAAACCTCATTAACAGGTGTAGTCACCTCTGAGTTACCTCCACAGTGCAGCGTGAACCCCACTCAGCCCCCCACTGCTTTGTTCTCTGGCTCGTTTTCTGGTTAATCCAACAACTTGAACAAAAGTGTTCCCTCCCACCCCGTTCCCCCCCACCTCTCCACCCCACGTACGACCCACCAAAAGATGGGGAGTTGGGATCATGGCAGCCCAGAGGTAAATCCTGTCCAAGGAGCCCTATAGGAGAGCCCACAAAAGAAAGAGTCTCTTTGCCAAAGAAGATTTTTTGTTTTTATTTATTTACCTTTTTGCTTACAGGCTCAGAATTCAAACAGAGGATGCTGAATGGCCAGAACCTTGGCCCACCCCCGAGTACCCAGGGCATGTGGCCAGCACCAGGAGTTCAAGTTTCTGCCCAGTAGGCTTGTAATCTGAACTTTCTATTTCTAAAATCCCAGTTCTTAGTAGCCAGCACACATTCTGAGCCACGGAGTTCTGAGAATTATTGCACTTGTCAGCTGCTAGGTCACATGTCCCTCAGCCTGGTCCCTTCTACTGGTATAATAGTACTCATGTTAGAGCCATGAATTTCACTGTCACATGAAAATTGGCATCCCTTATAATACCACCCAAGGCTTGCCATAATCACCCAGAAATACACCGTCAGGACTGTCAAAATTAATCAATTTTCGGGATCCCTCAGGGTCTCCAAATACAATGACTGGTAGCAAATTAATAAATACTTTGGATCATCCCATTTAACTTCATCAAGGCACTGACCCCATGATGAAAATTTAGCTTAATTAGGATAATATCTCATATTTAAAGAGTGCCTCAAAGCAAAGAAGCCCCCAGATTCCATCTCTTAATTTTCAAAGCTACAGCACATATCACTTAGAGCCAACTTTCAGTGAACAGGTATGTTTGTCCCCATTTTACGGATGAGAAGAGCTTCCTGCCCACTGACCTTTACAGAGCTAGGGGCTGGGGAGGTGAGCCCAAAGCTTGGGTTTCCCCCTTCGGGGTTGACTTTATTTGTTTTAATTTATGTTTATGGACGATCAGCAGCACAAAAATATATACAGAATGATTTGTGTGTGTGTGTGTGTGTGTGTACCTATTTCGTGAATAGGGTATCCTGTGTACACTGCGAGGCTGTAAATAGATGTCAGTAGTGAAAGGCTGGAGTGGACAAATATAGAATGTAGCTTGTGCTCAGCAATGCCGCACACCCCCACAGAGCCCCATGCTGGTATGTTAACTGGTCTGTTTG